ACGTGCTGCTCGTAGGTGTTGTTACGTGTTGTTTTAGGTATTGTTTTACGCGCTGTTTTTACGTGTTGTTTGTATGTGTTGTTTTAACGTGGGTAGAACGACTTTTCACGTGTATTACGCGCTGTGCTTACGTAGTGCTTACGCGTTGTGATCACGTGCTGTTTTAACGTGTTGTTTTTACGCATTGTTGTTATGTGTTGATTTGGCAGTATTGTTTTTACACATTCTTTTTTTCGTATTGTTGTTTTTAAGTATTGTTTTTACGTGTTGTTTTTACGCGTAGTTTTTACGTGTTGTTTTTACGTGTTCGTTTGACTTGTTGTTTTTACGTGTTTTTTTGAGGTGGGTTGAACGATCTTTCACGTGTATTACGCGTTGCGCTCACGTAATGTTTACGCGTTGTGATTACGCGCTGTTTCAACGTATCGTTTTTACGTATTGTTTTATGCGTTTTTTTTGTTTCGTTTTGTTTTTTATGTATTGTTTTTTTTGTTATTCATTGTGTTTACGTATTGTTTTTACGTGTTGTTTTTTACGTGTTGTTTTTACGTGTTGTTTTTACGTGTTGTTTTTACGTATTGTTTTTACGTGTTGTTGTTGTTTTTTTACGCGGGTTGAACGAATTTTCACGTAGATTACGCGTTGTGCTCACGTAATGTTTACGCGTTGGGATCACGTGCTGTTTTAAACGTATTGTTTGTACGTATTGTTTTTATGTGTTGTTGTTTCGTATTGTTTTTACGTATTGTTTTTTTTTTTTTGTTTTTTTTTTTTTTCCGTATTGTTTTTACGTTTTTTTTACGTATGGTTTGTACGTATTGTTTTTACGTGTTGTTTTTACGTGGGTTGAACGAGCTTTCACGTGTATTCCGCGTTGTGCTCACGTAGTGTTTGCGCGTTGTGAGCACGCGCTGTTTTAACGTATTGTTGTTACGTATTGTTTTTATGTGTTGTTGTTTGGTATTTATTTTACGTATTGCCTTTACGTATTTTTTTTATGTATTGTTTCTAAGTGTTGTTTCCACGTGTTGTTTTGACGTATTGGTTTTACGTGTTGTTTTAATGTATTGGTTTTACATGTTGTTCTCTTCCCACATTTACGTGTCGTTTTTACGTATTGTTTTTATGTGTTGTTTTTTTCATATTGTTTTTATCTATTGATTTTATGAATTGTTTTTTAACTAATTTTTTTCAAGTGTTGTTTTTACGTGTTGTTTTGACGTATTGTTTTTACGTGTTGTTTTTACGTATTGTGTTTACGTGTTTTTTTTTTTTTTTTTTTTCTCACGTTTATGTATCGTTTTTACGTGTTCTCTTGACGTGGATTGAACGATTTTTCACGTGTATTACGCGTTGTGCTTACGAAGTGTTTACGCGTTATGTTGACGTATTGTTTTCACGTATTGTTTTTCAGTGTTGTTTTTACGTGTTGTTTTTACGTATTGTTTTTTCGTGTTTTTTACGTAATGGTTTTACGTGCTGTTTTCATGTGTTGTTTTAACGTGGGTTGAACGAATTTTCACGTAGACTACGCGTTGTGCTCACGTAATGTTTACGCGTTGGGATCACGTGCTGTTTTAAACGTATTGTTTGTACGTATTGTTTTTATGTGTTGTTGTTTCGAATTGTTTTTACGTATTGTTTTTTTTCCGTATTGTTTTTACGTGTTGTTTTTTTACGTATTGCTTTTACGTGTTTTTGTTACGTCATGTTTTTACGTGTTGTTTTTACGTGTTGTTAATACGTTTTTTTTTTTTTTTTTTTTTTTTTTTTTTTTTTTTTTTTTTTTTTTTTTTTTTTTTTTTTTTTTTTTATTATATAAAAAAAAAAACAAAAAAACATTTTTTTTTTTTTTAAAACGTATTGTTTTTACGTGGGTTGAACGATTTTTCACGTGCTTTGTTTGTATTGTTTTTTTTTTTCGTATTGTTTTTACGTATTCTTTTTACGTATTGTTTTTAAGTGTTGTTTTTACGTGTTGTTCTAACGTATGGTTTTTACGTGTTTTTTTACGTTTTTTACGTGTTGTTTTTACGTTTTGTTTTTACGTGGGTTGAAGAAGTTTTCACGTGTATTACGCGTTGTGTTCACGTGATGTTTACGCGTTGTGATCACGCGCTGTTTTAACGTATTGTTGTTACGTATTGTTTTTATGTGTTGTTGTTTCGTATTGTTTTTACATATTGTTTTTACGTATTGTTTTTAAGTGTTGTTTTTACGCGTTGTTTTTACGTATTGTTTTTACGTGTTGTTTTTACGCACTGTTTGTTCGTGTTGTTCTTACGTATTGTTTTTACGTGTTGTTTTTACGTGTTGTTTTTTTACGTGGGTTGAGCGATATTTCACGTGTATTACGCGTTGTGCTCACGTAATGTTTACGCGTTGTGATCACGTGCTGTTTTAAACGCATTTTTTTTTTTTTTTTTTTTTTTTTTTTTTTTTTTTTTTTTTTTTTTTTTTTTTTTTTTTTTTTTTTTTTTTTTTTTTTTTTTTTTTTTTTTTTTTTTTTTTTTTTTTTTTTTTTTTTTTTTTTTTTTTTTTTTTTTTTAAAAGTGTTGCTGTTTCGTATTGTTTTTACGTGTTGTGTTTACGTGTTGTTTTCACGTGTTGTTTTTACGTGCTGTTTTTACGTGTTGTTTTTACGTGGATTGAACGAGCTTTCACGTGTATTACGCGTTGTGCTCACGTAATGTTTACGCGTTGTGATCACGCGCTGGCTCAACGTATTGTTTTTACGTATTGTTTCATGTGTTGTTTTTTCGTATTGTTGTTATGTATTGTTTTTTATTTATTGTTTTTACGTATCGTTTATAAGTGTTGTTTTTACGCGTTGATTTTACGTATTGTTTTTACGTGTTGTTTTTTCCTACATGTTGTTTTTACGTGTGGTTTTCTTCTCACGCTTACGTATCGTTTTTACGTATTGCTTTGACGTATTGTTTTTTCTTCACGGTTAGATTAAACCCTCAATGCGCAGTGGGGCGTCGAAGAATTGTGTGATGTTCAGGATGAGGAGGAGCAGAAGGAGGAGAAGGAAAACGAGGAGCAGCGGGAAGTGAAAGCGAGGGAGGGGCGAGTGGGATGGGCTCGACATGCGTGGGGCCTTGTATACGGGCTCACCCTGTGCCTTTTGGAGCTCATTCCGGGCTCTCCTGGGATCCTTTTTTTGGTCTTCTGAGGCTATTTGATATCTCGTGGTCGGTTTGTGGGTCGCTTTGGGGTGTCTTCTGGCCGCCAGGTGGCGTTTCGGTGTAGTTTGGGCTGATCGGAGGCCGTCTTGCGAGTCGTCTCGAAGGTGCCTGGGAGTTCAATTGGGAGCCTCCGATGCCATCTTGGAGGCATCGTGGCCCGTCTTATGGGGTTACTTGGGGACTTCTTCCACCGTCTCGGAGGCCTCTGGAGCCTACCTCGGGGCCATCCTCAGCAGAACAGTGGGAAGCCCAAGGAACGCACAGGAACCCCATGTTTTTTTGGCTTCTTTTCGGCAGTCTGGGCTCTTGCTCTTGCCGTTGTGGGTCTGCTTGGCAGCTCGAGTTGTTTGCGTGGGGCCGCGTGGGCCCGTGCTGGCAATTGTGGAGGC